CCCCAGCCTCACTTCCCACTAGTCTGGAGTCGTTGGAAGTTAAAGTATTACACAAGGGGACTATATTCCTACTGCTCTCACTGTGTGAAATAAGTCATTCTCAATTCAACAGATGCCCTTTATTGGAAAAGTTCACTGTAGACCTGTCTAAACAGAAAGAGCATAAGGTCCATGGCATGCTGGGACCAAGCTGTAGGACATGGGTGGTGGAGACCCTCATACTCCAGGCACTGTAGCAGCCAGGGCCAAGAAGCTAGAAGTTACATGTAAGCAAAAAGGGACCAGACTAAGGAGGCCCTGGGCCAGTCTGCAATGGTTCAGGACCCTGAACATCAGGGGATGCCAGCCTGCATGCAGTGACTCAAAGTCAAATGGATTCTATACTTTCTAGAAGATCAGTCCATTCACTGAGAAAACAGAGTCCCATTTACTTATTAATTCACTCACCCACTCATTGGACAAGTATCAATTTAGTGCCTACAATGGCACCATGCTTGGTGCTAGGGAGATAGGGGTAAATAAAATAGGTATGATCCCTACATTGATGGAGTTTCACAAGCTGGAAGTGGAGTTGGAAAATAAATAAAAGGAGTAAATTCATAATTATGCATTAGGATAAGAGCTACAGGGGGACAGGAAAAACCTCTCGGAGGAGGTGAAGTTTAAGCCAAGACCTGTAAGAGCCAACCAGTTGAAGAGGTGTGGGGAGAACTATCTTAATTAAGGAAGGTATCAGCAAAAAGTCACAAAGTGGAAGAACTCACAGTCCCTCAGAAACTGGAGAAGCATAATGAGTTGAAGAGGAGGAGATGTAAAAGGAAAAGAATGGAAAGATAGCAGGAGCCAAATCATGGCTTAGAATGTTTTTCCAAGAGCAGAGGAAAGTTCCTTATGGGTTTTAAGCAGAAAAAGGGCATGATCTATAATAATAAAAGCATAATATGCTAATTAGACCAGATGTCCTTCAGGATGACCTTCCAGATGAAGTGGAGCTGCAAGGGAAGCCCAGGTCCTGGGTGCCTGCTGGTGGCAGGAGGGAAGCTGGTGCCAGCAGCCAGGGGAAGGAAGGCCTACTCTTACACTAATTTCATGCATCAGGCCTCTAGTATAAGCAATAATTTTAAAAAGATCACTGGCTGTGTGTGGAGCATAGATTGGAGGGTCAAGAGTGGAGGCAGATTCATTCCATGGGGGAAGGGAAAGCCATTTCTGTGCAGGGTATTGAGTGTCCAAGTCAAATCAGTTGGAATTTGCAGGCGGACAGAGCCTTCCTTCTCTAAGTAGACGAGATTGGGCAGCAGGTAAAGGAGCAGGGAGGCCAAGGCAGGCCCTCTTGACCCCATAAATACCTGGACACAAAGGTTCTGCCTAGAAAGATACCTGGATATAGGTGTAATGTGCCTGCAAGTGTGTTCCTGTCCCTTCTGAAGCAGGAGGAGTTCTGAGGCTGCCACAAGGCTTTTTACCTGCAGAGGCACCCAGGTCAGAGAAGTGAGGCAGGAGCCAGTAATGCCAGCACATCAAGAGGGCCCATCTTCTCTCTGCCTTCCTTCCTCCCCCCCCCCTTTTTTTTTTAAATAAATAATCTTCTCCAATGCCAGGTACACGGTGTTCTTCCTGACTATGGGCCAGCTGGACTCGTGCTACGCATTTCATATGTTTCTGGCAAATAACCGTAAACAGGTAGGGCAGAGCGCTAGCACAGGCGTACAAGATGGCAAAGATAGCCCAGCTGGAGCTTGAGCAGCTGCCTCCAAAGCAGCCAAGTTAGTAAAACCCAAATAATCCAACCTTTGCATTGGAACCTCCAGGTCCTCATCTCAGAGCAACAGAGAAAACTGAGCACACCTTTTCTATTTGAAATCTTCAAGATCTTCCTATTGAACAAGGTACCTTCTAAACTCCTTACTCTGGCTCAAAAGACTCAGTAGACAGGCCTCCATCTACCCTCTGGCCCAGTGTTTTATGATAGTAAAACATACTTCTCCAGTATGTGTCCTGTGTTTCAACCCATCTGGAGCCATCTCCCATTCTCAAAGCTATCCAGTCCTTTCCCATCACTGAGCCTCTACTTCTGCTGTTCTTCCCAAACACAATTTTCTCCCTCCACTCTGTCCTCTCCAATGATCCAAATCACCCTCATCCTGAATGCTGATCTTCTTGAGTATTGTTCCCTGATATACACAGTGGAATCACCACCTTGTTTTTCCTTTCTCAAGTCAATACTCAGTTTTCCTCGAGTATTGTTATATATGCATATTTATTCTCTATAGTCTGTGAGCTAACTGAGGCTATAAAAGTTTCTTTGCAACTACTAAAGAAACTGCTCAATAAATAGGTGTGTATTTTCAGCAATAGATCTTCAAACCCTAATGCTGGAAGAAACACAAATAGTTTACATGTGTACAAATATAATGTTTACTCTAAAAGGTTAATAGCAGTTGCCTCTCTGAAACGAATCTACAGGTGTGTATCTTCATTTTTAAATCTTTATAGTTGACTAGAGGCCTGGTGCACGTATTCATGCATGGGTAGCGTCCCTCAGCGTGGCTGTCAATCGGGGCTGATCGGGCCAGCCAGCAGGGGTAGGGACCATAGGAGGTTGGCTGGCCGCAGAAGGTTGGCTTTGGGAGCACACTGACCACTAGGGGCAGCTCCTGCATTGAGTACTGCCTCCTGGTAGTCAGTGCATGTCATAGCAACCAGTCAACCAGTCAACCAGTCGTTCTGTTGACTAGTCTTAATGGTCACTTAAGCCTATATTATATATATATATATATATATATATATATATATATATATATATATATATATATATAATTTTCCCTTCAGAATACAAAAACAGCACAGTTCATTCTTAGAAAAAAACAAACTAATATAGACATCAAGTTAAAAGTCCCCATAGATCTCTCTTCCTGCAAAAACATACCACTAAAAGTTATGTGAATAGTTTTTCCATTTTTTTCATGAATATTTGAATTTGCACATATGTTAGTTTCACACTATGATATTAATCTGCCATGTAACTTTTTTTCTTTCTTTTTTCCCCTTGTCTGTAGCCAAATTTATCCCTGAGGCCCAGCAGAGGGGATCAGGGCCCATGCGCCACAGTGTTTCTGTGGCAGCCTTCTGGGCCAGTGCTTGTCATGGGTGGGGCAGGCAGTGATTCCATGTAACTTTTTTTCTTGCTTAATGACTCATTGTCCATGATGTATTTACCAACTCCTTATTGACAGACATTTAATGACATTTCTATTTTTTTAAACGTTATTACTATCATAAAGTGCTAAAAAGAGAATCTCCAGAGATAATTTTGCTCTCTATTTCCTCTTTGTTCCTTTAGTTTTTCTAAATTTTTAACCATAAATATTTTCTGTCATCATAAAACAAAATTTTCACTTAAAAAAATGAAGTGTCTAGCCATCTTTCTGTCTCTGTTCAGAATTTCATTAAATGTTCTCTTTCAATGAATGACTTCATTCATTTATTCATTCATTTCACAAGTAGGGTCATGTGCCACATAATGACAGCTATGGACCACAAACACTACGGTGGTCCCAATGGAGCTGAAAAATTCCTACCACTTAGTCACTTTGCATGATGCACTACATTACTCACTGGTTTGTGGTGATGTGGTATAAACAAACTTGCAGTTGTACAAAAGTATAGTACATACAGTTATGGAAAGTGCATAATACTTGATAAACAACTATGTTACTGGTTTGTGTATTTACATTCGTTTTATTATTTTAGAGTGTACCCTTTCTACTTAGAATAGGAGTGTCGAACTCAATCAGAGAAGGGGCCAAAATCTAAAATCCAGCCTAAATCGCGGGCCGAATGGTTTACTGAACAGTCATAAACTGTCATTGTGATGGAAACGCAGCGGAGTGCAGTGATGACAGCGCGGTGCGGGCCACATTGCAAGGCCTGGCGGGACGGATTTGGCCCGCGGGCCTTGTGTTTGACACATGTGACTTAGAAAGTTTGTCTCATCTCTTGTTTACATCTCTTGATTTTATCATTTTCTCTTGAGTTTGATTTAATCTTGTGTATTTTTGTTCCTCATGATCCCTAAACATACAAAAGCAACTGCAATTGTTGCCGATTAAAGGCCAAGCCAAGTGCCCTAGCTTGTTTGGCTCAGTGGATAGAGTTTTGGCTCCAAGACTGATGGGTTGCAGTTCAATTTTGGTCAAGGTCACATACCTTGATTGCAGGCTGGATCCCCAGCCCTGGTTAGGGCATGTGCTGAAGGCAACCAATCGTCGTCTCTCACATTGATGTTACTCTCTGACTCTTTCTAAAAATTAATGGGGGGGCGGGGGGGGGCCTCAGATGAGAATTAACAAAACAATTTTTTAAAAAGGCCAAGCTATACTTGAACTGGAAATGATATTAATATGGTTAAGGGAGCGGAGCAGCCGGCACGCTGCCCCAACTCAGCAGAGACTTTTATCGAGAGGGGCGTGGGCTCCCCGGGCCCGGGGACGCGGGGATGGGGGCCGAGCGGGGAGGGCGGGGAGGGGGCGGCATCTTCTGGGCATCCTTTGCACCCGGCCGCCCCACACCCCCTTCCCCGAGGGCTTTTGCACAATGACGCACGGCGGGCGCTTCACACGGGGCGGCGCGGCCAGATAAAGTGCTCGGCGCGCGGAGCCGGGCGAAGCGGAGCGGGGCGGAACGGTCCCAGCGCGGCGGGGCGCGAGCGAACTGGGCGCTCGGGGGGCTGCGCGAGCTCCGGCTGGGCTCTCCCCGCAGGTGAGCTCTCCCCACAGGTGAAGACTCCTTGCAGGTGAGCTCTCCCCACAGGTGAAGTCTCCCCGCAGGTGAGCTCTCCCCGCGGTGAGCTCTCCCCGCAGGTGAAGACTCCTTGCAGGTGAGCTCTCCCCGCAGTGAGCTCTCCCCGCGGTGAGCTCTCCCCGCAGTGAGCTCTCCCCACAGGTGAGCTCTCTCCGCAGTGAGCTCTCCCCACAGGTGAAGTCTCCCCGCAGGTGAGCTCTCCCCGCAGGTGAAGTCTCCCCGCAGGTGAGCTCTCCCCACAGGTGAGCTCTCCCCGCAGGTGAGCTCTCCCCACAGGTGAAGTCTCCCCACAGGTGAGCTCTCCCCGCAGGTGAGCTCTCCCCACAGGTGAAGTCTCCCCACAGGTGAGCTCTCCCCGCAGTGAGCTCTCCCCACAGGTGAGCTCTCCCCGCAGGTGAGCGCTCCCCGCAGTGAGCTCTCCCCGCAGTGAGCTCTCCCCGCAGTGAGCTCTCCCCGCAGTGAGCTCTCCCCGCAGGTGAGCTCTCCCCGCAGTGAGCTCTCCCCGCAGTGAGCTCTCCCCGCAGGTGAGCTCTCCCCGCAGGTGAAGTCTCCCCGCAGGTGAGCTCTCCCCGCAGGTGAGCTCTCCCCGCAGGTGAGGTCTCCCCGCAGTGAGGTCTCCCCGCAGTGAGCTCTCCCTGCAGTGAGCTCTCCCCGCAGGTGAGCGCGCCCCGCAGGTGAGCGCGCTCCGCGCAGCATAGGGCGAACTTCTAGGTCCCACTCCGGGGAGTCGGCCTGCGGCTCCTGCCCCAGCGCTGGGCGATGAAGACCATGGACAAGCAGCGCCTGCTGGACGCCAGGTCTGGAACGCGGTCTTACATGGGGTCTCTGTGGCAGAACGGGGCTGGCTGGATTTCCGTGTCACGACCTGAGCTGGACTTGCCATCCATTGAGCTGCCCGTAGATAACAATCACTACTGCCACTCCTAGAAGGGTCCTGGTAGTGACCCCAAGAAGGAGCAGGCCCAGCGGCAGCTGTACTTGGCCTCTGCCATCTGCCTGGTGTTCATGACTGGGGAAATCGTCAGTGGGTACCTAGCACATAGCTTGGCCATCATGACTGATTGTAGCCCATCTCCTCAGTGACATTGCCAGCATGCTCATCAGCCTCTTCTCTCTCTGGATGTCTTCCTGGCCGGCCACCAAGACCATGAACTTTGGCTGGCAGTGAGCTGAGATCCTGGGAGCCCTGCTCTCTGTGCTGTCCATCTGGGTGGTGACGGGGGTGCTGATGTACCAGGCGATAGAGCGGCTAATCTCTGGGAACTATGAGATCGAGGGGAAGACGATGCTGATTACCTCGGGCTGTGCCGTGGCTGTGAACATCATAATGGGATTAACTCTTCACCAGTCTGGCCACGGACACAGCCATGGCCAAGGCCAAGGGCACAGCCAAGACACCATCCAGCAGCAGGAGAACCCCAGTGTCCGAGCTGCCTTTACCCATGTGATCGGAGACTTGCTGCAGAGTGTGGGTGTCCTGGTGGCAGCCTTTATTTTATACTTCAAGCCAGAGCACAAGTACGTAGACCCCATCTGCACCTTCATCTCCGTCCTGGTCCTGGGGACCACCCTGACCATCCTGAGAGATGTGATCCTGGTGCTAATGGAAGGGACCCCCAAGGGCGTGGACTTCACAGCTGTCCGGGACCTGCTGCTGTCGGTGGAGGGGGTAGAAGCCTTACACAGCCTTCATATCTGGGCCCTGACTGTGACCCAGCCTGTGCTGTCTGTCCACATTGCCATTGCTCAGAACACAGATGCCCAGGCCTTGCTGAAGGCAGCCAGCGCCAGCCTACAGGGGAAGTTCAACTTCCACACCCTGACCATCCAGATCGAGGACTACTCTGAGGCTATGAAGGGCTTCCAGGCATGCCAGGGACCCTTGGACTGACTGACTGCCTGGCCCGGTGCCAACTGGAGCACGGACAGGACCTGCAGAGGGTGGGTCCCTGTCCCCCCCAGGCCCAGCCAGGACTCTGTTGACATTGGCTGTGTCATAAGCCAGATCCCTCTTCTGACTTGAGCTCCATGTTCAGCGAGAAGGAACATGAGGTGGAAGGGGCTCCGGGAAGGGGCTCTTCCCCTGCCTCCCCTCTGACTCTGGCAGCCTCGGGAGGGGGACTCAGCAGGTGCAATCCCACTCCTCCTGCTCCCGGGCCAGTTCCTGGTGGGGCTGGCTTTGCTGTCTCACCACCAGCCTCAGGGAAAGGCAGTGGGAGGTGCTGGAGGGGGATCTGGCCACAGCACCCCCATGCCTACCTGCCTCATTTCCCATTGTCTTGTCCTTAGGAACCTGTAAAGAAATCTTGGGACTGAGCCCCTCTGCCTCTAACAGGATCTGGTTTAAGGGGGCCATGAGGGTTAGGGAGTTGTGAGACAGACTGGTGAGCCAGGACAGTGGAATAGGGAAACAGAGACACACAAATAAATGGCCAAGCTGGTTCCAGCCAGCCATGGAGGAAATCACAAAAATCCCATCTCCCCTAGCCAAGGACACTTAAGAGTAAGTGGTTTGCACTTCTCCCCAACCAGAGGATAAACAGCTAAACTCTCAGGAAGACGGATCACAAAACCAAGGAGTGCCATTTATACCAACCACACCCAAGGACAGGTGAAGTTAGGGAAATAAGTCTCACTTTGGTGCATCAGCATAAAGCTGATTAGTCTATTGAGAGCCTCCCCTCAACTCCCAGCCTTTAAAACCCTCAAGATGAAGGACTTAGGAGCCTTTTCTCCCTTCCCCTCACCCCTCCCATCCCCCCTACCTCCCATGCATTACCTCTGCCTTTCTCCTAAGCTCCAAGGGCCCTTCTATAAGTTTCTAAGAAAACTTTCTCTTAAAATTTGATAACAAAATATTTATATATGGTTAAGGACTACAAAGTTGGAAAATCTGAGATGGTTACTGCTCACCAGTCAGGCTTGTCCCATTTCACTACAGCTGCAATCTTGAAGAACAAGAACATAGTGACAAACTTTTTAAAGAATCGGCTTCATTGAAGACAATGAGACTGACCAAAGGTTGAGGAGGACCTGTATCAGACATGGAGAAACTTCTGATGACCTGAATTGAAGTCCAGACACAGCATAGCCCTCTCTCGGCACCGTGACAATCATGGCCAAAGCAAAAAACTTGTAATGTTGAAAGAAAAGGCTCGGCCCAACTACAGGGTTCAATTTCCTGCTGGCTCTGGATGATTTTAAAGATTCAAGAATCATTATTTGTTACATAATGTGAAAGTGAATGGTGAGTCTGTGAGTGCTGATGTGAAAGCAGCTAAAGAATTTTTGGAAACTCTAGATAAGCTGACCGGGGAGGAAAACTATTTGCCAGAGCAAATATTCAGGGTAGCTGAAACTTCCCTATTCTGGAAATGGCTGCCTCCTGAAAGGACTTTCACCTACAAGGAGGCCAAGTCAATGCCAGCTTTCAAGGCTTTTAAGGACAGAAGGACAGTTTTGCTTGGGGGCAATGTTGCAGGCTACATATTGAACCCTTTGTGATCTGGCATGGTGAGAACTCCAGTACCTTCAAGCATATCACTAAACAAGCACTGCCAGTGTCCTACAAGAGCAATAAGAAGTCATGAATGACCCTGATCCCCTCCCAATATGCCCTTCTGAATTGCTATGCCAGAAACATGGAGAAATACTGTTTGGAAAATAATACACCATTTACAATTTTGCTTATTGTTGATCATGCTCCTGAACATCCTCATTTTATTGGTGATCTTTATCCCCAATATCAAAGTGGTTTTTCTCCCTCTAAATACTACCTCTTTGATTTAATCAATGGGTCCAGGAATTACCGTAGCTTTTAAGACCTCCTACCTGAGGAGGACCATTACTCAAGCTATTGCTGCAGCTGAATGCAATTCTGGAACGATTACATCTATGACTGGGTGATGAATCTCGCTTGGACTTGGGGCGATGTCACCAAGGAGTGTATGAGTGGCATCTGGAAGAAGACCCTCAAAAGGTTTCATGATGAATTCAAAGGTTTTGCCAAGGATGAGGTTGCAAAAATCAACAAGGCAGGTGTTGAGATAGCAAACAACTTCAACTTGGGTGTGGATGAAGATGATATTGAGGAGCTCCTGAGGTTGTTCCTAAGGAATTGAGTAATGAGGTGTTGTTAGAGGAATTAGAACAGGACTGTGTAACTGAAGAAGAGGCAAGAGGCAAGGAGACTGCAGGAGAAGAAAAAGAAGAACCCACAAGAAAATTCACAACGAAGGTTTTAGCAGAATCTTTTGCAGACCTCATCAAGCTCCTTAAAAAGTTTGATAACATCGACCCCAATGCCAGTAGGTTTTCATCAATAGAGAGGAATGTTCACTGTGCATTATCTGCTTACAAGCAAATCTATGATGAGTGAAGCAAACCACCATGGACATATTTCTGAAAGAGTGACACCTCCTCAAGAAGAGCCTCAGGCAGGTCCTTCAGGAGGTGTTCCAGAAGGCACTGTTGCCATAGGAGACGATGGCTCCATGGCTCCATGCGTGTTATTGCACCTAAAGACCTTCAGTGGGACAAGATGTGATATGGATGATCCTGACCCTGTTCAGAAATTTAAAAAAAAAAGCAGTTAATAGAAAAAAATAACTTATAGATAAAGATATAAATATTTGTACATCTGTGCCATGTTTGTGTTTTAAGCTAAGTGTTGTTACAAAAAAGTTGAAAAGTTATAAAATTTAAATTTATAAAGTAATAATTACAGTAAGCTATAGTTAATTATGATTGAAGAAAAATATTTTTTATATTTAGTTTTTTATAAAATTTATGTTTTTGCCTGAACCATTATTTAAAGCTAATGTCCCATGGGGCTGGTTCTGAGATGAAGAATCACAGATCACACAGAGCTGGAACTGGAATAAAGAAAAATCTAGAGATTTTCTAGTTGACTAAGTCAAACAACAAATAAGGAAACAGGTTTCTTCATTCTGGTTCCAGAACAATTTATATTCCTATTCCATATTCCAATGTATAAGACACTAGTCCCCTCCCTATCCCACAAGCAGGAGGAATCCAAAATTACAATGCAGCCCCACACACCTCCCTTACAGGGGAAGGCCACCTTCCAGACCTGAAATTAGCAATGGAGCGTCCCCTGGTGGTCCGAGTACAGAAGCACAACTCCTTTAGACCAGCCTGTACATTTTAACTGATTTTCTGTAACATCAATAATTGTCATCACCATCCATAGACCACAAAGCTGCCCAGAGGAAGAGCCTTTCCTGAGCGTGAATACTCAGGTATGGATGGCCGAATTGGAGGTCTTTCAAGTCTTTTCAGTAATTGATATTATTATAATTCCTATTGACATATATTCATATTCTTGATATAATTCATATTATTGATATACTAAAATTGATATAATTCCTTGTACCTAGAGTTCTATCTTTTAGAGTATTTTTCCTCTCTCAAGCTTTGTGATGGATGAGATGAATGAATTTAGAATAATAGACAATGGGGTCTCCTCATAAATGGGAACCACTGTGTAGTTATAGCCCCTCCATTCACAAGTTTTGCGTCTTTGAAAAAAGATGAAGGACCCTGCCCAGTTTCCACTCATCCTATGCCAAGGGATGTTTGTGATCACCACCCTGTACGTAAGCCCTGGGACCCTGGGCTACCTTAAGTTTTGGTGCCACCACCTACACATGCATCATCTGAAACCTCTTTGAAGGCTGGTGAGTTCAGGCCTCAGAGCCAGAAGGATGACATGCAGGTGGGGCTGGCTTAAGTTTATGGTCCTGAAGAACTGAAAATCATATTTTAATCTAATGCATAAACATTTGGAAAAATATGTGATAACTTAGATTTAGTTGTCTGAATCTCACACTCATCATTAAGAAGAAGAAGAAGAAAGAATAGCAAGTATTTATTGAACATTTCCCCTGCACAAAGTGGTTTCCAGACATATCTAATTTGCCCATCTACCACATAGAAGATAGGAATCCTGACATGATTTGGCCACATTCCCTGGCCTCATACACCACCAATTCATATTCCACCTGAGAGGCTCTCTAACCTGGTGATGACTAAGTGTTAAGGGAACTCAAAAAGAGAATTAATCCTGACCAAGGAACAGAGAGGCATCACAGAAGCCTCTGAGACTTGAATGATGAGCAGGAATGTGAGAGATTACAAATAAAGGGAAATAATATTCTTGGCACAGGGAACAGCACATGCAAAAACACCAATTGTGAAGGTGTATTGCATGATCGGGGAATGGTTATGGTTGTCTGATATGGTTGTAATATTGAGAGTGGAAAGAGATGTTTGGGTTGATTCAGGACCCACAATTCCTATGAAATAATCACAGACGGCTATGCATGATTCAGAAGACAGGAGGTTATTATTGAGGGAACAGCAAGCCTAGTGGACTGGTTAAAAGCCACTGTAAAGAGTTTATCCTGAGAACGGGGACTTCCCAGCTCCCCCCATAAATTCCAAGTGGAACATCCCAGAGGAAGCAGCTGATATGCTTCTTTAGCAAGCCATGTGGACTTTGTGATAACCAGGATATTCACCTGCTGAATATGCCCGTTTCCCAGGTGACAGTAAATGCTGTATTTAAGGGGGCTCATTTTTCATGGCAACCAGCTTAGATGATGAGAGCTGTTGAAACTCTTGATTTAAGAGAGTGCAGGAAAATTTTCATGAGTCCATTCTGAAACTAGGTACGTGCCGAGGGTTGCAAAATAGAAAAACAGTTCAGGAAGCCTTATCAAACATGGTGTCTCAGCTCCCCCTGATGGGTTTTACAGATGTTCATTAAAAACAGGTTTCTTAACAAAAAGAGTGGGAAGAGGGGAGAGTTAAGAGACTTCCCAACAAGATGGATAATGCTTAAAAGTTATTAAGAAATAAGGGGAATAAAGCAAATATTGAAAAGGGAGGAAGAAATTGGAAACAGAAGAGGGAGTCTTAGGAAATGTCCCAGTAGGGCAGAAATCTTTACATGGTTACTGATGAGGTTAAAACACAGGTTTTAATCTAGCACTACCTAAGCTTGAGCAGACCAAAGGG